ATGGTTGACTGGCATTCGATATGAATTTGCCTGTTTGGTCACCGGAGGCCCACGCACGCTTATCACAACACACGTATTACCATTAATCCGGTGTAGACCCGAAGAAATAAGACCTTCAGGAAAACTCGCAGCAATACAGTGCTCAAGTTAGAGTTGTTAATGCAGGAATCTTGTTTTGCTTAATGGGATTTGTAGTCTTGAGTAGAAGTTTTCAATGTCTTCCCTGTTCCCATTCGCCCCTCAGATAGAATAGCACACAGGGGGATTTAGACTATTGGTTTAGCCGTCCATAGTTGGTGTGGCTTAGCAAGGCGATATGTGGTTCAAGGGTCTCTGTAGATGATGTTGAATGCCAGACGATTACTGTGAATTAGACGGAAATAGGTTTCCTTGTCTGTCGAAGAGGCTGTTTTGGAAGGTGTTCGCGTTCTCCATCGGAGAGTCACCGTGAAGTTTCCAGACGCAGGTTGCTTGATGCAGGCAAATAAATACAGAGGCGGACTGCACCTAAGATGCGGAGTACGAACGATGGCGCTCGTTAAGATGTTCAGTGTTTCTCTTATCGGATCAGCGTTGTCACAATTGTTTTGGAATTTTCTAACTAAATAGTATTTTGTCTATTATTGTTCCTCACAGATTTGCTCATCTCGTGTTTCTGACCGGTGTGGGGTCTGTAACGATGGCCCTGTCCGTCCGTACCAACTCAAGAGTGCATTCTGCTATAAGTGTCGACGGGTTTGTCACCGGTAGGTTCCTCACATTTGTCTACTTCACGAAGAAGTTTACCGTTAGTCTCCTCTTGGTCTGTTCGTTGGCTGGCTTTTTCCACGGTTGTGGCCTTTGTAAACCAATTTCTGGTCTTTCGTAATCCATTTTATTGTGACATCTGGTATTCCATGCTGTCCTTTGGAGTTCAACTTATCCGGTCAGGTTTTGCTATCCCATCGGTCCACTGATACTAGCGCTCAATTCAGGCTTCTAGCACACCTTACTGTGGAATGCGTGCTCAGCTTCCTGGACACATGTAGCAACTGTAGCGTGATATCATGTGGCCGAACACGCAGGGTTGATGGAAATCGGCACCTTTCTCGCAGTTGCTTGAGCAGCAATATAGAGGTGACCCTACAGACCTTTGGTTTCTGGGTTCGGAAACAAACTTCTGGGATCTCACACACACACATGGGCTTGCTGATTAGACGGTTGCTGAAAAGTCCTTAACTACTTCCTGAAAGCAGTAAACTTCATCATAGAATCTTTGCTTACTGTCTGATAGGGTGTTGACCTCAATACAGAGACTGGAAACTGTCGCCGACAGGTTGAACCCAATGGACAAAACTCACACCCCTCATCCTTCGATTGATCGAGGTGAATTCCCCGTTTTTCAACGGTTAAACTGGCGGATACCTTTGCAGAGTTGAGCGATTACAATCACTTCTCATGGGATCATCGTGAAACCCATAATTATTAGAGTTGGAAATTTTCATAGCCAGTCGTATAAGCAACGTAAAAACCCAATAACCAACCGGATGATTGGCAATGCTTCTAACTGTCTGACGGTTTTGTCAGTCATTTGGTCTGCCGCCTCCCCCTGGGACTTTCGATATCGGAAGGTGAGATTTGGGTTCGTCTGGTATGTGTGCTTAGTTTAGTTCACATCGTCGAACCGGTCAACAGTTCTAATCGGCTTGAAGAGGTTTAGTTTATTACTTTCTTGAGGAGTTCCGGCTCTTGGAAGCCGTTTTCCAAAACCGAAAGTAAGACAGTTCAGCTCGGATTTCCTTATCTACTGACCACACTGTGCCCTACTCGCAAGAAAACACGGTTGGGACATGTGTTTTCCTCGGCAGCATTAGTGAACAAACCAATTTGGCAGACTGTCAGCTAATTACTGTGGTATTTTTGATGCTTTTTCATGTAAATGAAGAACAATACTGTTCTCTCTTGTCAGCTTTCTGGTTTATACTCCTTTTGTTTCAAAACCAGATATTGCCTGCTCAAGCCGCTCCCAGTATCTATAGAACACTTAACCGACCAGTCGGAATCGGATAAAGACGATTGGGTCGAAGTCACTTATCCGGTTGTCAGAGCTGTTTGTCGCAAATGCGGCTAGAAGGCGGAATCATCTGATCAATCTGCCGTGATACAGTCTTTCGATACATCCTTACAGTCGTGCGGCTTATAATTCACCAAATGTTTCTCTATTTTTCTCCCTTCTTGTTCTCTCTCACTCTCTCTCAGTGACTGCTTATTTTCGTTATTCATGCTACTTTTGGGTGTCTTTGGGATGACGTAAATATAGATTATTTCTGCGAGCACACCAGATGGAGTGCTTATTGGATGTACCCAGTTATTATTCTACACGGATTCTACAGATTATTCAGTGAAATATGCACGCTAAAGAAAATATGGGACAACGTTTATCGCTCCCTCAACGCAAACTGTCCGGGGTGCTGCAATCTGAGAATTGGTATAGACAGAAAGCATACTAGAATATATCTTCCTAGGCGGTGACATCTTTTCAGCACATAGCAGCTATTCAGGCCCAAGAGAGTTTGAGGCCTGGGGTGTTATCTAATTGCCCAAACATAGACAGAAACATTTGAAAATACAGGATTTACTACCGTTCTATTACTGTCGACGAAAACGAAGGTTGGATTCAATCCATGCGCTTCTCGACCAGTTGCTTGCTACCCAATAGGCAAAAGAACGTTAAAAAGATGATACCTTATGAAACTGTCGCCTAATAAGATTTAGATCGGTCCTTCCTATCAAAGATCTCGTACTGCACGTAAGCGTTGAATGCTTGTAGGAAAGAGGGCATGAATCTACTGACTGGAAGATTCTGGTTCGACCACAACCTCTACATCTCGGTTGTTTCCGTCTAGGGTTGGGTGACCTGGCAGTATCTCAGTTCCCTTGCTTCCTTCGGGTCACATGGCGGTTATGCACTGAAAGGGTGCTGTAGCTGAGCCATTTTTTCATATCGAAAAATGTCGCTTCTTTGTGGAATATAGTCATAACTATGGTCCACCCATTTTGTGTTTTAAGTAACACGTTTTGCCATCCTGCTTTTTGAACCTAAATTCTAACTGCTCCACCCATATGCCTGTGTTCAATACCTAATACACTTACCAAGAAATTGTTTGGAGCCGTGACGAATTGCAATACCCGTCCCACTCTACCTACGCAAACTTGGATAAGGCAGGCGCGTTCTCCAATTGCCACAAGGTAGGAGAACAAAGCGCTGAGTAAGGCAGGAGCGTTCTCCAGTTGCCACAAGGTAGGAGAACAAAGCGCTGAAACTTAGGAAACCGATAGATGATCATGGCCTAACCGATCCCCTAAAGGAACGCAAATTATGAGAAGGCTCCAGAATGCGACCCACACAGTGATTTTGGCAGCCTACTACATTCACGGTTGAGTGCGTCGCACTGTGGAGCAGTCTTTCCGCTTTACGGGGAGGCTCGTTGATGTTCGCTGTTTATTGCACAGTCATGTGTTGTTTCGTGCGTCACGATAAATCTGCTTTGTCATCGTTAGGCTCTTCTTGCCGTTGAAATTATGTAGACAGTACTGGATCTTCCCCTTTTTCACGTTTCACAGCTGTAGGACAACTAAGTATGGAGTTTTAACAAGGTGAAATCAGTTTAAGGAGAAGATCGTGGGCATCCGATCACTAGTACAGGTTCATGAGGTGCTAGGCGAGTTGGCATGAAATATGCACTAAATGCTTCCACGTCCTACAGGCTGCTGAAAAGAATCGCGCATGCAGCGGTACATTCATTCACCACGCTTGCGTCGCGTGTCACTGCGGTTTATGTGTGCCAGATAGCGACTAAGATGAAGAACCTTATTTTGAAATTACGACCTCCAGCTTCCCATCAACAGACGTGTTACATTTGTCTGGGTACTCATGGCATGTGTTGTTCTGGTCAGTTTAATCTGTCGTGATTCATTGTCAGAATAGTTGGCTGTACATCCGGTTCACAAACTCCCAGCAACAAAGGATTCGACTTGATTCGTGTCCGAATTTATTCAGCCGGCTTTGCAATTACCGAACATTATGTCGTATCTCGACGATATTGGAGTTAATTGCGCAAGTGCTGTTTTCACTAGCATCACAAGAATTAGGCATCCTTTGCCGGAATTTCCTGATGACACGTAGCAATGCTTCGGTAGTTGCGGTCAGCAGCTGTCTACGTTATATATCTGACGTATACTTAAGTGCTCACCACTAATTACTGACCAATTACGGATCCGGAGGGATACTACCATATATATATATATACTTGTGTAGACTTGTCATACGAATCAGCTTTCCTTTAATACCGACGGCATCTATGGGATGACGACTTCACAGTGTTACACAGTTTGCCTAGTTGTGTAGCCAATGGTGCCAAAAATCACGGTTCTTACGTTAAAAATACGCATATTGTGCTGGCAGCACATTATATATATATATATATATATA